TGATTTATTACAGCGACTTTCCATGAGGCTTCCAAAAAACCATTCGTTTTTCGATTATACATCTTTCAACGAACTGTATTCTAGCATAGAACATTAAAACTAAACACCTCGCAATGATATTCGCATTCAATATATTATAGGTGTTAAGATACGAAATGTAGGATACAGTAAGAAGGAATTAGGGAATACAAGTAGAAATTTCTGTTCTAATTTAGAAGACAAATATTTTATAACCAGATTTAGGACGGCTTAGTGATACATAATGGCACAAAATTTAACTAAATTCTAATACTCTTTTTGCCGGATAGGAAAATTTACAACATTGCATTAGAGAGTTAATTTTCACCAATTAAGAGACTAGGTAACAACAAGTCAAGTTATTTTAAGTTGATAAATTAGGCTATTGGAAAGAGAGGATCCTTGATCATTTTTAATGTTACTAATACTGGTTACAGCTTAATACATGTAATGGTTAATTCAACACAGTGAAACGAAGAACTGCATTATTAGTAAAATTGCATAATTAAATTTGTACACAAAGTTAAGTATAAGGTATTTTAGTACTCAGACCAGAATGACTCAGTTGTGTAAATATACATGTGGTACATTCCTGACTTGTCAAAGCATAGCGACCAATATCACGTCTCCCAAGTACTTTACTGGCGATCGAATTCTAGAAATAAATTTGCATTGTATTTCAATGGTCCCAGTTATTGGATATCACGTACACTATATGAAAATGCTAGGAAGTTAGAAGTAGTTGGCAGGACTCTGAAGGTGGGTTATTTAGATTCAAATCGCGCAGGGAGAATCGGCACCCCTGTGATGGTAAGTGGACTTCAGCGATGAATGCCAACTAGCATAAAACCTAGAATTAATTCTCCTGCCGATTATCCCCGACCGCCTAACATGTAAATATGTGTTGTGAAGATCCAGCACTTCACATTAACTGGATTTAAGATGTAATAAAGTTACCAGAAGAATCAACCGTGCTGTCTATTCTGCGAAGTGTCTAATCTAAACTGATATCTCCATTTTGAATGTTTACAAATCTATTGTGTGTCAAGTCATCTGAATTAGATAAATATGTTTTAAAGAATTTGAAATTACAAAACAATTTTCTAATATTAATCTATTACCCATCGACTTTGTCGTATCAAAAATAGCAATCCTTTTTAAACAAATCATCGGGTGCTCGCAAGAAAGGTACAATGGTGTATAGTCACTTAAAAAAATCCCATGACCTGGGGATTGGTATTTTCACTATTTTTCTTAATCTAATATTAAACTTTAAAATATTCGTGTTTGTTCGACTACTTAGTCTATTTAGCCTTTTGATCTGATGTGATTTATGTAACGTTTGCCATGCGTACGTAATGAAATGATACATGACGCTTGTTTATATCATAAGAAAATTCTTGTTTACATAAATATTTCACCTTTGATTTGTATTACGCCAAAAACTCAACTTATCGAAACTAATCAAGATATTCATAATTTTTATTCAATTTAGTTTGTCGAAATTAAGTAATTAAATCATTGTTATCATCTTTTTATTCAGACAATAATTTGTCAGATGAATTTAATGACAAGAAATCATATAGTTCTGTTGTTATTATGAATGCATCTTGACGTCAATGTTGTTTCGATTTGAAAGTTGAAAACATTTCAAATAAATATATATATGTACACTTTTACCTTGCCAAATAAAGATCGCTGAATCATCTAATATAAAATCAAATGAATATTCTATGAAATCCGCGTAATATACTATAGATATCTCAGCTGCTAAAAATAAATTCTAACAGCTTATCGATTATTTTACTTGTATCATACAGTAATATTCTAAATTAAGATATATCTGCTTATCGATGCGATCAGATATTCTTTAGTTTCTCATTATTTTTCTTACCTGTGTAAAAGTCATCAGTAGATGGAAAAGTTGAGTAAAAAATTTGCATTTTTGGCAAGTATTGGCTTAATGTACAATATTTAGCACACACCATATTTTTCATTTGTAATTTTATTGATGCTAATAGTATGTATCTAGAATTTTCTAAGTTTTATTTAGAAGAAAGTATTCTGAATGCACTGTTCAGCTTTAATCGTGTGATATTTCTGTACGTAAATTTGGGTTCTCCAGTGGGTTCTTTACAGTTAGATTTTCCATAGCTAACATCAAAATTAGCAGTTCAAATACGACAATTACTAAAATTTTTGTATAGAAAGTGTGTTAGTAACACATTCATAGTATGTGATGAAAAATCTGGTGTCCAATATATTCTACAGTCTTTTAATATCTCCATTCCACCAATTAAAAATAAGAATGTGAATAAACACTTCTTGCATTTGATGTCCTATTTACTAAAAGTAATGATGGATCAATACAAAAGTCCATGTATAATCTCCTTGGTAAGAACAATTGGAAAATTATCATAGTTGGTTTCCAATATCTACAAAACAAGATCTCATCCATTCTCTATGCTGTCGATATCGTAAAATTTGCTCATTAGACAACTTATTCCTTCTAGTATCTACTGAAATTATACTCATATGATTCTAATGTGAAAGATAAGTTGCTACAGCTGACCAATATGTGTGTATACCAGTCTACCTGCTACGCGTTTCGATGAGAACGATGTCGAATTTGGAAGCACCTAGCAGTATGGCTTAAGTAAGAACAGCACAAGTTAATTACGTTATTTACTCTGTGTCATGTACTAGATTCGAAATATTTAACTCCCTTGACATCAACTACAAAAGTCCGGCCGAGGATCCCAAAGTTCACGTTCAAGCCTACTTTAAATTATGAAAGCTTTAACTGTCCTGAATTGAAAATGCGAGTTTTGTAAACAAAAACAAATTTTTATATCCATCTAGTTACCATAGTTCTTGTTTATAGTTTTATTTAATACATTTGTTCTTTTTCTTTCCTTTAGATTTTTCTTTCCCGAATTTTAAAGAATGACTCCATTTCCTTATTCATACAAACGTCGTTACTACTCAGATCTCGTGATTACCGTTCACACTTTATTTCGAATTAACGATGGACAGATCTCTCGTTTAACCTATTGATTGTACGTTTCGCATGTTCTGTAAATTCCCCCCTGTAATAACTTGTTCACTTGATGATCATGTAGACAAATTGCACATCACAACTGACTGGATTTTAGCAGACAAAGTTATTCATTGGACCGTAATTTATCATATATATATATATATATATATATATATATATATATATATATATATATATATGGTTGTACAGCCTTGAAAATGAACTCGCTGAAAAAATTATTTCACTAAATACATTTTTTATGACTTATTGTGTAAATTTACATTACAAACAGTTTAGATTCATAAGTATTATTAATGAATAAATATGTCGATACTAAACACCTATAAATAAATTATTTTCACTGATGCTATCAACACCAGAGCGGTCGTCGTTATCAGATAAATCCCTTGACACCATAGTTAGTCTTATATATTTCAACGACCGACTTGGGTTACATGCTGTTGTCGGCAATAGATCACGGAATCTGCTGGCATTACCAATGAACCTCGGAGTTGGGATTTCAAATTTAATACACATACTGAACATCTTGGATAAAGACTTCTTAAGTGACCCATCATCATAAGTAATCGCCTGGTACTTAATACATTCGAGCATCAAAAAGTGGGAAATATCTTAAAATGCTGATCATTCGCATTAAACGAACCTAAAAATTTTGAAAATATAGCTGTTCAAGAATTTACTTTCTTGATGATAATTGGCTTTATTCAAGCTATGTACTCAATCGTCAGACAATGTGGAATCGATAATATGCGTTTGTTACTTCATAATCACACTACATCTTGCTTTGCTCATGTATTGAGTGAATAAAAGAAAATAATATGCAAACATATTCCGTATTAGGACTAGGATGTGAAGAGTACAGAAGTTCCGTGTGTGTGGATAAACATATGTTAAGTAAGACGCTCAAATAATAAAAAATATGGCAGTGAATAGAAAATCAAAACATAAAGCTTAGACACAATCAGTACAGGTATACACAATACAACTTGTTACATAATTAGTAAGCTTTACTCCGGGATTTTTCATAAAATTTACAATACACAGCTTATATGTACACAATGCATGATACATGAAAGATAGACAAATGGAAAATTAATACCAGAGTATTGAGTGAATCTATATCTCTAATAATATAATGAATAAATATATAAAGTCACACATGCAAAACATGAATTATGTGACAAGTGCTATTTCATTAAAAGTCCAATAGAAACACGATATCTATTATCTTATTAGTGAGTGTAAATATGTATTCACAATTTCCAAGTCAATGATAATTAGATATCAAAAAAGTAAAATGCTGTATTTAGAAAGAGGACAGTTTTTGTTTGGACAAAACAGAGAAGCGTAGAAATAAGAGCAGGGAAAAATCACCATGATGAGAGAAACAAAGGAATGGTCAACACTATTGTATTGTGAATGAAATCAAGTTCCACCTTTGCAGTGACAGTTTATGTAGGATGGGATATATCTAGATTCTTTGACTGAGTACATAGTTGCTTTTTACAGAGAAAAAACATGTCACAAACCAATAAAAACTATCTGTAAAACAATGCAAAAATAACGAAAAAAGCAATGAAGTTAAATGACAAAAATTGGATTTATTATTGTATCGCGAAAGACTATGAATAAATAAGGTCCAATGACGATGGTGTATGTTCTCTTGTGGGTTTTCATATCTGTCTACATATTTGCTTTGCATTCATCCCATAATGTGAAAAAATAAAATTTGAGAGCAACGGATGGGGTGTGGTGATATAATTACATATTGTTGATAAAAAACAAAAATTTCCAGTGATTTGTGCTAATTGATTACTTTTACAAATATTGTGAACAAATAAAATACAATCAATCCATCTCATCATTATTATTTCTTTAGAAAGGAATAGGTTTATATATATATATATATATATATATATATATATATATATATATATATATATATTAGATACTATTTTACTATCAATAATCATGGTAAATCATCACCATCTGTAATATTCCTCTCATTTATGAGTGGTGGTTGGTGTTGTTGTGAAATCAAAGCCTGCTTTATTTCTTCTAAACAGGCTGGTGGACTGCAGATTCCATATTTTCGTCTAGCTAAAACACGATGTTGCGGTCTGCCACCAACAGTAACATTACCAGTACCACCACTGACAATTCTTAGTTCATCCTCCACAGGCAAATAAGACTGAAGCTGTAAAAATACAAAATGAATAGAAGCATGATATCTGATTTAAACAACTAGAAATTGAACTAACATATGACATATGTTAAGAAAAATTCAATTACATGTATTTCAGGAGACTTATGAAAGACGAGAATAATTGGATGATCGCGTTTCTAACCGATCCGGTTATTTAAAATATGCTATTTACAAGTATATGCAATACTTATACCTTAATCCTGAGGAAATTTACATCTAGTGAAATACAAACAGTTGTCTTTTGTAATTAATTAGAAGACATCTTAATGTGATCTATCCAATGGAAGGTAAGAGTGAAGAGAAATTTATTATGTCGTGTATACTAACAATCTGTTGCTGCCACTGACCAACTTTCATTATATATAGATTTGTCTATGATACAATAGGATAAAAAGACATTATTTAGATCAATAATTTCATTATCAGTACATTACGAACTTCGATCTGGGAGACAGGTGTAAACTTTTGTTCAGTGTGACAATTGTATCCCCTACATTAATTCACGTGAACTATAGCCGGTGTGTGTTTTCACAATAACTATATATTTGCCTCCATGATATGTGTAGAAATTAGTGCACAAATGATTGTACTTTAGTTTAATGAGGATGTGATTTCGGGATTTATTTGAAGACTTGTTTTTGGAGGGCTACTAAGTCCTTATTTCATCAGTTTTTCCTATTTCCAAGTATAAACAGTAAGTCTACGGACCCAAAAGAGTCGAGTGACGACATACCCAGATATAACATTGGCGACCAATCTCTAGACATAGTAGTTTATTATCGCCGTTATGATGCATAATTTATGACTTCCCCTATCCAATACCTTCGTATAAATTTACTGACCCTGATGATTGCTTAGTTTCAAGAAGAACACTATTCAAGTAGTATAGAGATCCGATTGAAATTGCATAAAGTGGAAATTATCATTCGACTAGTTTAATTGCCTTTAGTCTTTGATAGTTTAAATCAACCCAACAGAATTAATGTGAGGCAGTTTGCAGAGATTAACCTGCAGTACAAGCCGACGTTTTATGATAAACTTATGGGATACGTAGTAGTATTATTCCAATGGCATCTGTTAACATATACCTCCTTTCTCCACCACTCATGAATTATATTATTCATATATTTACAAAACTAACGGCTGTTTTAATTTCCTTTCATCTGCTTTAAACAATAAAGCACAAGGCAAACATGCATGGACATTAAACATCAACTGAACTATTTCTGAATGCAAAGGTTCGGCAACGCGTGTTTGAGCACAGTGACGATAATTCAGTTGGTGTGAGCATCCTGAAACACTGACTTCGGTGGCTTAGACAGTTACTAGGAATGTCGTCACAACGAATTTGGTTATATTTTTCTTAACTGAACTGCTTCCCATATTGTTATTTTCTTCAGTTTTATCCACTACTTCTGATTCTATCTCTTAACAACCACATCTTTATTGTGTGGCGCATGTATATTTTGGTGCTCCCTTTTACAAATTTTTATGCTTTCAAATAAATTTTTGAACTGTTAACTCCTCATTTCAATTTTCCATTCCATATTCATTACACTCAAGTTTATTTTACATGACATTTTATCGGATGATTTGTGTCATCGACAAGAATTTATCGAATATTATTAGTTTTCAAGTTGGCATTTTATCAATAACTATATGCCATCATAACAGACTATAATTGTTCATCGTGTTGAATAGATATTAGAATCTTAATGTAGCTGCTATAGAACATCGCTTTTTTAATTTTGTATTCAAGTGAGATGATAAAATATTGTCATTTTCAATATAGAAAAAAAGTAAAACACTCGCTAATAACTAATGACGAATGAGTTATCAAGACTTACTATAACACGATCTGAAACAGAGTTATTAACATATGTGGACTGTAAAGCAACACCATATGCTGAATCAACAGTTAAATTATCACTTTCTGTTCTATCGATTATTTGCGAAACACTGTCCTTATGATCACTGTTATCGATTGAGGTATCGGCAAAACAGTTGATATTATTTGTAGATTCATCTAATTGTTCCATAGATGAAGAGCAACTAGATAAAGGAAGGTCCATATTCATTGAATTTATGGAGGACAGTGGGAAAACTGGAGGTATACTTGTAGGTATAGTTGAATAGTTTGGTTGTGGTACGGAAATCGACGATGATAATGGTTGGGGTGATGGAATAGAATTCGGCATCATAACAGAATCAGGAGTGGTATTGAAACTTTTATGCTCAGGAGCCATAATTGAATAACATGATGTTGTTGGATGGTCACAATTAGGTATAATTATTCCAGAATCTGTAATAGGTGTAGTCGATGAATCAATGTTTAGATTATGCAAACGTAATTTCTCACCCAATAAGAGGTAAGTAGCTGTCAGATGATCGTAAGCACAACGTAGAAGTGACTGTAAAACACAAGAATAAAAATAAGCAATCGGAAAGAAGGGGATTAACAGAAGGTATGCTTTAATGAGTCCTTCAGTTGCTCTGTTTAATTATGAAACGTAAATTGATAACATAACCCTAACAATAGAGCTTTGTGAAGTCATACTATGAATAAGTTGGTATGGAGAGTCAATACATTACCATATTGTTTGTTTTTGATAAAATATGGCATGCAAAAAAAGATAGTGGGGGATCTTAAAGTGAAGAAATAAAAGAAAGAAAATTCATATCAGTAATCGATAAGAATAGTAGTCACTAATAGGTACAATTCAATTAGGATTTCCATTTAAAACAATTAGTCTATTTGCCAAATTTGGATACTGTGATAAGAATACGAAAATCATCAGAACTATGTGATGAATGATGAAATCAAATTAATCAAGAAGAGCAGATGATAAACAATCATTATAGTTTAAACAGGTGACAACAGTGATCTTAGCTCGGCTCTTGTGGTTTTGTACAAAAGTGTTTAGGGACTCATATTAAGGTTTATTGAAGCTTCGGTCACACTAAAATTGAAATCCCTTATCTTTTCAAAAACAGTATGTTTTCACCCTTAGCCTACCATAGTAATATTGTTTTATTATCCAGTGTGGTGAGTTTCACATTGCTTTTAACATAATTTTTTCTATTATTTTTGTTTCCTCTAACCTTACATTTGTCTAGTTGACCGTTTAATTTTCCATAAATAAATGTTCCTAACAAGTATATTTGGGATCAGATTGTTCGAAATTTCATTCATTTAATGACGATTTATCTAATTGATAAAAAGTTTTTTTCGGGTGTCGAGAATATTTCAAACAGTGATGATCGAGCACACTGAGTTAACGACTACCCACGGCTGAGGCAGAGGATGTTTAGCAAGCAAACGAAGAGCTGCTTCCACCGACAGGCTGTATAACAGTCCGTTTATGGTTTTTTGGCCTCAATCCATTTAAAGTATATTCACATAGAGCTTTACGACAGTGATAAAATCCGCAGGTATAGCATTCCTTAAAAGACAAACCTAGAACACTTCCGCTTCATTTATTGGAACGGTCGTCACCGACCAAGGAGGAGCACGGGGTAGTCTGAACGACATTGCTGAGGAAATAAATCAGGCGAACTATTCGAGGAGCCTCTGAAAATTACTAATTGGCATGCTATCATCAAGTTTTGTATAACCTTGTAAATGTAGTTAATGATAATCTATACACTTCCATAAGTTGGCAGTTAGTTTGATACTTGGTAACAATTATGGATGTAACTAATTCACTTGGATTAGTCCGTTTAGGATACAGAGTTTGTTGATTACCATAAAGTAATATAGGAATGACACATGATAAGTTATAACCAAAACCTAGATAGGATTTTTACAAGGACCAATAGTTATGAACACGCTACGCTACTGTAGCTGAATACAATTCAAACAATATGAATTACAGACAGAGGACACCAATTAACGCATCAGCTGGAAGTTAATGCTGGTCAAAATGAAATAATAATTCACTGAGTTAACGGTTAAATGTGAAGATCGAGTTAATTGCTTTAGGCAAATAAAATGAAAAAGTTTAAATATTAGGGACTTATAATTACATTTTTAGACAAGATTTACGCTTATATACTTTCCAAAATACTTTCCACTTAGGGTTTTAAGCTTATCGACTAAACAGAATAAGTAGATAATATTACCAATTACATAAATTATACCATAGTAAACAGACGATGTTTTAAGATGATACTCGTCCGTGTTTCCGATAATGTTTAATACTACAAGCTTGAAATACATCGCTGACAATCGCTTGTGAAAGAAATATAAGTTATTTGATAGCTTAAAATTAGGTTCTACATATGTTATCTTAGAATCAGTTACCTAAATGATAAATAAACATGAGTATACTTTTTTTAAAAATCACTCGGATGATAACTCACTTTGAGAATTTGAGTGCGACACATTCCATAGGACTCCATAATCATAATAACTAATTCATTTAATTTACCAACCTTTAAAAAATAGCAACAGAATGAAGTCACGAATCGTAAAAATATGTTTTAAAAGCATTAAGCGCTGTGAAACAACAAAATACAGTGATCTCGAGAATACTTAAACTTATTTACTTCATTAAGTCACGATACAATACAATGTGGACGAAATTATGTAAAAATAGTAGGGAAAAAAATAACAGAGCCAATTTAAATCAGCTTAAGTGTTAACTTGAGAAAAATGACTTACTTTCATTTCAGCCGCTAAATTAGGCCCAGGACTTTGTAGATCATCTTTACTCCATGAGAATTTCGAAGAGCAATCACAAGAACAATGTTTCAAAACAAACGTGGGTTGAACTAAATCACAGTCTGTGGATTTATTTAAAATATTTGAATTAGCACCACAGGGTGACAATGTTTGTCGTAACATTGTTGGTGTAGGGACAGGTTGATTAGTTAAATGCATTGTGGCCAATGAGTTAGACATAACATTTGCAATTAGTTTATCGTGATAATGATTATGTGGAATTGTTGATGAAGTGAACCATGGAAATTGACTGATACGTTTTGTTGTCGGACGATCGTTCGGTTCTTTCGACAACATACTACGTATTACTTGTTCACAAGCTGTAAGGCAGAAAAAGAGATGAAAGCCTATAGATCTACAGTGCAAAACAGTGCATTCGAAGTTGCAGTCAAAATTTATTTGTTTATGAGTGAAGGATAGGAAATGAATACATATTACCTACACGAACGGACAATCGAAAACCTATTTATGAAGATAACTATTAAACATTTTCAGCTACATATGAATATCCGAAAACCATCATGTACGTCGATGCCAAATCGCTAGTAGTATAGGGGAAACGGTTGGGAGAAATTTTACACTGTCTGCTGATCAATGTGTGTTTATAACTACTCTCAAATATATTATGAACATAGATCAACGAAGATGAAGTATAAACAAGATGAATAGATAAATCACTTTCTGTGACTCAGAATAACCAAATTTAACATGATAGATTGAACCGTAATTATATAAGGTGGTGTACGTAGAACAATGTGAGTGGTTACTACGTTTAAACAATCAGAAGCGAAAGTTCGTATGAAATAGTTTTACCATGAAAACAAACTTAGATATCAACAACGTACGCACTACCTATAAATAGATTTAAAAATATAAGTACGAAAAGATCCGTATGTTTCCGTTACTGATTGGGTTTTAAGAAAGTAAGACAGACGGTTGAATTTCATTGAAATCATAAACCGATTTAGGCTAGACAACCATTTAAAATCTGGAAGCACAGGACGACCGTTTCGTCCTAGTATTGAACTCCACAGCACTATTGATTTTAATGAAACTCAACAATCTCCACAAACCCAAATCGAGAATCACTATGTGCTGACTAATGACTGGCTTCGAGAGAAAATCTTCAGAATTGTGGTAAGGAGCCGTGACCATTGTAGTTAATCCATGGAGGGTGTGAGACAACTTCCCACTAAAAACAATGGAAGGTGGTTGCTCAATTTTGTGAATTGACCGAGTCTAGACATTAACACCATTGGATGTTTGCTCAGCAGTTTAGGGGTGATGTGTTCGTGCACGAGACAAAACGTCATAGGTCCGATTCTGACTGCCTGACTGACGATTCCATTTAGTGCGGGATTGTGGATGCGCACTTCTGAGGAGTCATTCAGTGCATCTAGCTTTTTAATGGCTATCTAATTAAATCAGTTCATGATTTCAAAGAAATATTAACGCAATGTTAAATTTGAAAAACCAACTGTCAATAACGAGTAGGTTGTTTGGAATTTAGAAAAAGGAATGTGAATAGAATCAAGTGGGTTAAACTCACACGCCCTTCTTTTCATTCATAAACTTCAGAAAATAAATTTTGTTGTATTACGCAGACAATATTATCTTGAATATTTTCTACAACTATCATCTTGACCAATTATAAAAAACCTGTTTAAAAAACACTAACTCTGTTTCACATTCCAGACGATCCATTGGTTATTTACAATCTATTTTAAATTGAAGATTATGTTAATGATTGGAAATATGTAAATATTACTACTTTGTATGTTAGCTGGAGAAAAGAAAGCAACGAAATACAATGAACCGTCCTTACTTTGTTCAAATTTGTGGCGCGAATAAATTGTAAGAACATCTTGTACACAAACCAGATTAGCCCATATGACGGATTTATTTAAGGGGTGAACGGAAAACCCTAATTCTAAACCAACAGTGTAAGTGGACATCAGAATCTCGGAGGAATAAAAACAGTGTATGAATCTGTTTCTGATCACGGCCGATTTTGAGGATACTCCACTACCTTATTAACTAAGCCCTTAGGTTAAAGATTCGGAGAGTTACATACTAACCCAACCACCTATTTTGGAAACTCGAGTAGTACCTTACCCACCCCACACACACAAAAAGTTCGTGTGGCGTATACTACTTTTGGTGCCCAACTCTGTACCAAATTATATGTGAATTAAATAAATAAATAAGTAAAATAATCACTAACAACTTATGACTAAATAAATCAAAATAACTATATGATTTCAATAAAAGATGAGGGAACTTTATATGCTTTATCACCAAGAAAACAGTGGACTGCTATAATCCAATAATTCAACTTAACCAAACTAGAATTTATCCTGTTACAGCGGTTGAAAGCATCCAGTTCAGATATGAGAAACATAGTGGAAAACGTTTTCTAGTTAATAACAGCAAAGTTCTTTTAAAACAATCTTCAATACTGTAATAAGAAGACGAAGATTATCAGAATTATGTGATATATTAGCGCAATACATTTCGAACAATCTGATCACACATATACTTGTTAAGAGCATTTATATATAAAAATAAAAGGTCAACTATACTGGAAACGGAGTAAGAGGAGATAAGGTTAATAATAAGAGTAATAAAAAAGCCTGTCTATATCACCTTACCATTCAGAGGTGATTCAAGTAGCCTTTTATTGAAACAAAGACGTAAATCAGTCATCAGTAAAACGTATTGCGTAGCAAAGGTCATTATCAAAGAAAGAACAAGGTGCATGCTTCATCCAAAATCAGTAGTGTCACGTCCCACTGTGTCTACCAATTTATATATGTGTGTGGTCACACATACACAGGGAGGAGCAATCGTGATCTCAAAATTAGGGTGTGTGAACATGTACCAAAATGGCTGCAGAAACAAATAGAATCAAGTGACTCAATAAGAGCAGAGGATAAGCATCCATCCACCTTTTATTCTTATATATAAATGCTCTTAACAAGTACGTGTGATCAGATTGTTCGAAATATATTGCGCTAATATGTCACAGTTCTGATAATCTTCGTCTTCTTATTACATTATCGAAATCTTCAATGCTTTGAAGGGTTAATATGTTAACACCATTTATACATGGTGCTAAACTAAATTTTTAACTGTTTGAGACAGACATCTGCTTGAGCATCTGGGCTACCTGTTCCTGCCATCTAGATATTTCAACAAGTTATCTATTGTTGTTTGTTTTAATATATCATTATGTTTATTAATCGCATAACCTATTCTGCTGCGTTTCTGAAAAGTGTACAACCTTTCGTTGTCAAAGTTACAGAAAACTCAATAAGAGACAATATGGTTGCTGGCAATGTACAACGAAAAGAATGTACATTATTCAGTTGTTCATTCACTGAAGTGCTAACATCTAACTGGCGATTCCTCAATATTTATCGCCAGGACCGACCAAGAAGAAAGAAACGGAAACTTGTTGAAATACTTTGCGCTGAGAATTCTATATTGTACCAAAATTATAATATTGAATAAAGCTAATAATAATAATAATAATAATAATAATCTCGAGAAAGTATTGACCATTGATGATGTTTTTTCTCTTATATGGAACATTTGATACATCATCAGCTGATAACAGTGTATAAACTATATAAAAAAATGAGCGTAGACTTGAACAAAGAAATCAGAATACATTTGGCTTACAAACACACACGTACAATGAATATAATATATAAACAAACAAAGCAGACGTTTGCATCATAAATACGTAATCACAACACATGTGATTTCATGCGTGAGCTTAGCGTGATATAATCGATAATTGAAGTCTGAAATTAGACGATTGATACAAGAGAGCGAAATACAACAGAGGGGAGAGAAAAGTATGTTAATGACAATGTATTATTACGTCATATAATTGCTTATTAGAAAACATTTTTAAACAATACACCGTTGTTCGAATATCATAAACATGTGTGACGTACGCTTAGAATAAAAAAGTACATATGAATATAATAACAATAGCCCTAACCAAAATCATTTACAGAACAAAGAGAGCAACTCAGTTGATCGATCACTGGGTGGTGATCAATGTCATGTATGTCAGGTCATTTTTAATGCGGATCGAATCCGTCACGGAGTATCAGTTCCCTCAGGATTACAGGTACACCTTGCTGACGAGTGCCAAGAAGCACGAAACCTAGGTCCAGGGTCTCCTGTTGACTACCTCCAACCACAATCTTAAACCAACTTAAATAAAGGAATTAAAAGTCATTAAATGAATAATGAGGAACAGGTGTGTGTATATCTATGCTTATTTGACGTAAATGTGTGGTGTTTATACAAGACAGGCCTAAAATAATGATCCCAAATCTAAGAGTATTATGTGGGAAAAAATTGGACTATTCCACACATTCATAATAATAAGTTAAATAACAGAACTGAATGTTTATACGAATATTTGTCAAGGTTAGAACGAATAGTTTGACAGAAATTGGGCGCCGAGAACAGAGAAGACATTATATGTGAAAGTGAATATGAAACTGAATGTTACTACTTAGAAACACACGACTTCAAATATTTTACGTATGTGAACCGATTTACGTTACATCCTTCGTGTAAATGGACAGTTAGAGAAGAAATCAACGAAGAGAACAACAGCAGAGAGAAAAGGAGTGATAATATCGATTGTGCTGCAAAATTAACACGATCAGGGATTGAAAAGTATGAAGTTGTAATATGCTTATGATTTAGAAGATAGACATTGGCGAAACTATATCAACACAATTGGTTTTGAACCGTGTCATTCGACAGGTTCGATCGTAGTTTACGACTACTGCATCAGCACAAACAAGTTTACACAACTCATTTTAACAGTCAATTACTTCACGGGCTGACTGTACGAAATGTTGGTATTGTCACGGGATATTTTACCCTTAAAAGGTGAAAGGAGTACAGCTGTTGTAGCTTTCATAAAAGTTGTGTTTCTCAACTAAAACATGTACACTTTCTTATTAGAAATCAGTGATAAGGGAAAAACTGATCGAAACCAAGAGACTACTGATCAATTATTTGAGCATGAATTTACCCTCTTTTATAAGAAAACTAAAGCTGTTATATATATATATATATAAGTAAGAAAATTAAAGTCATGTTTTTTTAACAATAACGATAACCTACCATACAAATAATTAGGTTTAACACTAATTTCGTTTTCTTTATTAATTAATCGCACAGCTGTTTATTGAGTTTAAGATGAACCATAGATCATAAAGTGAATTTTCTAGCAAATATAGACGAAAAATTTCATAATATTTACGTCGATCTCTATAAAGAAGAC